ATGCTCACCATCTTGGACTTTTGCAAAACCGTGTCAACAAATAGCTAAATAACATATAACATGTCACAACGGTAACAATATTATCGAATTAATTATGTAGTTTAATATCATTATGACTAATTTTATCGTGCCGCATCTTTTGTTCACGTGTTCTTTTGAAATTATAGTCGATATTGAATCAGTGACAATATATAATTATAATGTTATTATTATTAATTATATTTTTTATTTATGTATTCATTATATTAGATTAGTGATAAAATTTAAAAATATAAAGAAAATTCTTTAATAATTCAAAAATTCCAGGCAAATTTACTTGAAATATAAATTAAAAAATATAATAAAATTAGATTTGTTTATAAATTTTTTTTCAAATATAACAGAACTGAAATATTTATTACATATACAAATATTGAAATTGTATATTAATATTAAAAGAATAACAAATATTATAAAATATTGAATTATTTTAGAGCTAACTCTTTCTTTTTCTCTCTCCAGATAAGATTTTTATTATATTTAATTGGCTAATTATTTTTGATCATGTAAAAGATGAAATTTTTGAGATTTTCTTTTTTCTTTCTGATAATTATATAATAATTATCACTTTTTTATAATTCCAGCTTGAAATCAGATTATAAATATATTTGCACTTATAAAAAATATATTTAAAAAGATCTTTTTTATATTTATTTTATTATAAGAATCAATCTAATTGTAACAACTTCAATATTATACAAATACATTTATTCTTATTATAAATCCCTCTTCCTGATATATGTACACGTGACAATAATAAATTTTATAGAACTTGAGATATTAGCCGATATTTAGTACATCCCAGTTACGCTAAATCATCGATACAGTGGAGTGCCATAAATCACTTTTCTTTTGCCATGACTAGGATATCCAAGAATAAATAGATTTTTATTCAAGATTCTCGTCATTATGAAAATTTTTGGCAAAAGTCTCAGCTACTATAAGTGGAAAAACTATTGTTGCGTCGGCATAAATCTAAAAAAAGGGTTTCTTTTAATATTAATACATTGTAGACATTGGATAACAATAGAAAATTTATAATTTACCTTAACCATTTCGCCATCGGCTCGTATTTTACCCCAACTAACAGCCTCATCAGGTCTTGCACCAGCATCACTTCCGTCAAATTCTTGGCCAGTATTGATATATACTGCGTAATCTGCACCGTTCCTCTATTGGTACAATATTATAAAAACTTGTAATTTACTCATAATAATAATTAAACATTATTACATTATGATTTATAGATACCATGAGATTAGCATTACATATGTGATGCTTCACGACTCCTCCTCCTAATATTATTATCCCAGTTTTTTTTGCAAATACTGCTTGATCATTTAATGATCGGATGTCGGACACAATATCAATAATAAGGCCTGGATCCTTAAAAGAATGAAAATAGATCATATCCCCGAGAGATCCATCTGTTATTGCTGGACAATACACTGGAATATTATTCTTTGATAGAAATCATAAAACAAATTTAGGAAAAAATATGCATTGATTATAAAAGGAACAAAGATTAATCATACCTTGTAAGCCCAATGATAAATAGATTCTGGATTATCAATTTCTTTACCCAACCTATGTATGATTTTAGAAGGTGACCATATCACACCCTAAGCATGTGAGTCTAAAGATTAGCATCTAAAGCATTTCCTAATTCAATACAATTTATTCACCTCTTCTTTTTGCTCTGCTACCATACGATATAAAATCGGTGAAACCCAATCCTCAAATAAGCAATAGTTTTGATTAGGTATTAGTAAGTTCCCTACACGATTCAGTCCTTGATCTCTCAGCGTCGCTCCTTTTAAACTAAAATCTCCTATGTAAGTATTTGCCAAGCACTTTATTATATCCTCTTCTACACCACCTGCAGTAGTTACAATTACATCAACAAGCGAATGTTGCACGAGAAATCGAAAAACTTCCCGGAGACCAGAAGACACTAGATTAGAAGTGTAACCGAAAAATATTTTGCATTTTGTAGTAGCACGCTTCTCAAAGTCTTTAAATTCATCAATCTCGTCAGGTAGTATCGGATCATCAGAAAGACGCCATTTCCGCTTTAAATAATAGAACAAATTAAAATATTTATTAACTGGTAATGTAATTGGTTTGGAATATTTTTATATAAAATACCATTTGATTGATTATTTCAACTCCTTGGCTCACACTGGTCGCCTGAAAACCCATTCGTGCATAACTTCCAATAATGTCGGACAATTCAAGTTTCGTGTTAAAGTCAGGTCCAGTGACCTTTATAGCGTCAATAGACATAGGCGTTGATTGAGTTAAAACAGCTTGCTTTATTGTTTCTGGAACATTATTTTCTTTCATTTTGGTGAATTTTTGTCGAATTTTTTGTGATCTGCAACACTTGATAACCTATAGATCTCGTGATACAATATTGTGTAAATTACGATTCCATTACATTTTTTCCCACAGGAACAATTCTAAAAAAATAACCAACACGCATAGTTTGTAGGAGAACCTTCAGGAAAGTTCTAAAAGATGCAACAACCACCACCACCACCACAATCGTACCCCGAACTTCAGCTACCAACAGTAACTACCGAAAATCACAAATTTCCGTCGTCGTCTTCTACTCCCTCTACGCAGTCCAATGTCACTACTACTAATAAAGAACAAATTTCTTCGCTCGTCAACACCTCTACGATCCCACTTAAAAGACCAGCGACTTCTCAGTCGCCACCTGCCAGCCAAGATTACTCACCACCACCTTCGCCTAGCAGTAATAGTTCAACCACACCTTTTTCTCTGCCAGCTCCTTTACCACAAAAACCTTCGAGGACTGGAAATAAAAGCGTGCCAGCTTTCTTGAATAAATTGTACAAGTATGTTATAGTATTAAATCTATTAATTCATTTCATTTTTTTTAAATTATAAATTAAGCATCGATTAATATCTTTGCAATAATAAAGTATGGTTAATGATCCTCAATCAAATGAATTGATAACGTGGTCAGAAGGAGGGACTTCTTTTCTCGGTAAATACTAATTTGGCTTTTGGGAGCATTCATATATAATTGATTATTAATCTCGATTAATTATAATAATTAGTTAAACGACCGCAAGATTTTGCTCGTGAAGTATTACCAAGATTTTTTAAACACAACAATTTTAGTAGTTTTGTGAGACAATTAAACATGTATGGATTTCACAAGATACCACATTTGCAACAGGGAGTTCTTCAATCAGATGGACAATCAGAACAATGGGAATTTAGTAATCCAAATTTCTTGCGAAACCAACCAGATCTTTTATTTTTCGTGCAACGAAAAAAAGGAAAAGACACCGAAAACAACAACAACAATAACAACAGCAACAACAACAATAATAACAATAACAACAACAATAATACTAATAACAATAGTAACAAAGATAATAATAATTCTGCCGAAGTTGATCTCAATCAAATTATGAACGAGATCACGTCGATCAAAAAACATCAAATGACAATAAGTTCAGATTTGAAGAATATTCAACGGGACAATCAAGTTTTATGGCAAGAAACAATATCGGCAAGGGAAAGACATCGTCGACAACAGGAAACTATTGATAAGATTTTAAGATTTCTGGCTTCGGTGTTTTCTGCAGAGAAAAAACGTGCAATTGTACCTAGAAAAAGGCGTTTACTGCTTGGAAATGGTGATGGGAATTTTGGCACTTCTAATTCTCAAGGTCTAACAACTACTACACCTGAACAGAGACCGAATTGGACTCCGTTTGATGCTGCTAATCAGGCTGCTGTGCCGACTAATGCCACTTCCATACCGAATGAATTGGATTTGTCATCTTGGGGATTGGCTGGTTTAGATTTAAATAATCCAGGTAATTTTTATTTTATTTCAATTTTTTCTAACAAAGTTAAAACTAATTCAATTGAATAAAATCTTTAATTTTCCGCGTGTTTTAGCTTTATCAATATTAGCATCATTGGCAGTTAATGATCCTTCACCGGGAGCAACAAATTTACCACAATTTGATTTTTTTAATAACTTGAATGCTTTACCAAACGCTTCTACGTCAACAAGCGAAGACGCGAATAATCCTGCTGGTTTTTTGACTCACCAATTCTCGAATATTCTACATAATGATCCAAATTTACTAACTGATCCATTGACAGTCGCAAACAATCAAGTAGCATCATCAACCAATGACAATAATAATCCATTAGTGGTTGCTAATACCACGACTGGAGCATCATCTATCAACAATACAACCACCACAAATACACCAACAACGGCAGCTACAAATTCTAATCAAACAAACTCGACCAATACTAATCAAAATTCTTTATCACATTATAACATACAATCGCCACAACCACCTCCTCAAACTCAGCTTACTTCAAATGCACAATCAACACAACAAACGTCAGCAACAACAACAAATCAACAACAATTAACAACGACACAATCATCAATTAACGCAGCTAGCTCTCCTAATGCATCACAATCACAAAATAATGTCAATGGTATTTTGGAATCGCAAAGTACCAATATGCGAGACATCGAGAGTAGAATTAATGCACTTGAATCAAATCTCGATTATGTGACATCACAGCTTGGATTCGATCCTGAAGAACCATTAGAACATGAAGATCAAGACGGAGATGCCTTTATGACATATTACGGTACGAATATACTTAATGCTGCGACTGAACAGCATCGGCAAATGTTATTTAATCTGATGGGGAGTAATGATAATAATAATTCCAATAACAATCCCGCTATTGCACATGCTGGGGACTCTTCTTCAACTGCATCCCGTAATGTTCTTAATTCTACTACCAATACTTCTACTACTCCTCCTAATTCCAATACTGCTACCACTATCACTGATCCCACAACTAGCTCGACTCCAAGCGCAGGAAGCACGAAAATCACGAATTCAGGAAATTCTACACCCTCACCGACACCGCAAATGGCGACAACAACGGCAATAACACCATACATTCCTCCTCCTTTGGTGCAACTTCGATATTTAATACAGCAGCAAAAAAGAGCATTAATTGAACAGCAACTTAATAACATGAATAATAATAGTCACCACAATAATATTAATAGCAATCATCATGATAACAATAATAATACCAATAATAATAGTAATAACAATTCAACTTTAGATCAACGAACTGTTAAAAGATTAAAAACTGGTTTAGAAGGAAACAGAAATGGATTTGTTAATAATAATACTCTTACATCGAGACAAGATGACACACTAACTATAGAAGATTTACTTGTTGATATTAGCGGTGAGGAGGAGGAGGAGGATGATCCGTATATGGTTGGTTTACCAAGTCTACCTGAAATATAATTTTGTGAATTTATGATCATCAATATGAGTGGTAGATTTCTGCGAATATTGATTGTACAAAAGCAAATTGATAACACACACACACATATATATATATACGTTGAAGACTGAATAAATTTTTTCAAGCATCAAATTAAATAGACTTTTAAGAATTGAAAATTTTATAATTATATATTTAATAAAACAAGCTTTTGCTATTCTAGTATTTTTTTTAATGTCTTTCAAATATATTGAATGATCAACTAAATAATTAAATCAATAAAAAATCCAAAAAATAAAATATTACATTTATATTTAAATCTTTATTAATGAATTATACTTTATATAGTAAATATAATTGTATTAAATCACATATTACAATTTCAAATTCAAAAAGCTTGAATACATGATAATTATCCAATAAAATTACAAATTATATATAATGTGAAAATGCAAAACAAGTAACAAAAAACAGAAAAATTATAAATAACTCGAAGTTTTACTATGATAACTATTTTTCAATTTTTAAACAAAAAAATGTTTAACACAAAATTTTATATGTAATAATATTTTTGAGTTATTAAGTAAATAAAAATTAATATTTTATTTTGACAAAATTTTTTTATTATGTGTTTATTCAAGTTACAAATTCTGTTATATTGTTACCATTTTGATGGGGCTTTCAAAATACTCAAAGGTATTTATAAAATTTAAGGAATATTCAAAGGGGAAACTTCCAATGTCTTAACGACAATTCAAAGT